TTTCCATCTTTATTTCTATAGCGTGTATTTAATGTAGATTGTGTCAAAGCAGCTTAACATAGAAGTTCTAGTAAATTGAAGCTGCTTTAGTCTTGTTTTTAGTGTTGTTTATGGTTAGTTTAGTTCAGTTCAGTGTAATTTAAATTTCATTGCTCTAAACCTAAATACTGAAGAACAAATCCATCAATCCTGGATTTAGACTGAGCACATTTCAGGGGTCCGTTCTTCGTACCTCGCTTAAATGATCTAAGATGATTTGGCAGATCCTGGATCTTCTAATCTTGATAACTGATCTCTCGCTAATTGGGTTCTCCAAACAAGTTCGCGAATCAGATTAGAATATCTGGATGAACTGATCTGAGATCGCTGCGTTTGTTGTTAAGGACAGATCTATCGATCCTAGAAATCATGATCAGCAATGCAACGATTGGCTGACGGCACAGCAGCGTAATGACATCATCTGATTAATATTCAATTATCCATGTGAGCAAAATTACATCAAATTAGCAGTAAACGGCTTGTTAAATATGACACGCAGTAACTTCACATTTGTTGTGAGCTGCAGGCTTTACACTTTCATTTGTCAAGACAAGAGTATTCATCATGTATTTCAATGCAAATCAATGTATTTAGTTCTTCATTTAGAAAAGATTTTCTTTATTATAGTAACCGTTTTTTAATCGGTGTAAAGAATAACTGGTTGTTTCCAAAAGCATTTTGATATTGGTAAAGGCGTCTGCAACTTTTGTGAAGCATCAAATCACTATTAACTATCAAAACATGTTTATGACTTCATAAAAGTATTATTGCTTTTAAAAAAAGTCACATATTGTGCATTTCTATTATACACAATTTGTACTAAAGCGATCTAAAAAGTTCATATCAATAAGTTTTCTCTTTGCACCACCAGGTGGCAGTCTTTGTACTTTCATTTTGAGGGTGCAGATTGCATACGTTTTATTAATATGTATAACTTTATTTATTTTATTAATGACTATAACTTTTATATATATAGTTAAAAAATATTTACTATTTTCCCAATTGTATATAACTACTACTGTAAGAAAATATCAGAATTCGGAACATACTTTCTGTATTATCTTTGCTTGAACTGAGCCGATCTAATCCTGTTTATATGATTTGAACCTGCTCCCGATCAGGTTTGACCTAGCAGATCCGTTGCCATGACAACAACTCTCGGATCAGCTTTGAAGAACGAAGCGATCCTGGATCGTGTCAAATCGTCAATATCCAAATCCAGCTAACTGAGTAATCCACGTACGAAGAATGGACCCCAGGTCTAAATATCCGAGAAACTGCAAAGATTGTTTTTCATTAGAATTGGACCTCTAAATCAAAGCCTTTCCATACGTTACAGTTTTGACAATAAGCAAAGCATTTTGAGCTTTGTGCATGGAATCGAAATTAAAAGTCTAATTTCCACGTTATATTAGGTTATGAAGCACAAAATCAGTCATAAGGGTATTTTTTTCCTCTTTCAAAAATGTAAAAATCTTTTCTCGTCTCATCTTGTTCTCGTGGACCCAGTCTGGAGAAAGCGTCTCGTGACAACCCTTTTATAAAAATATATAAATTTATAATAATATACATGTTTGTTTGTTTAACTTTTTTATTAGTATGTTATCTAAAGAGATTAGAGTAATTTACAATGTATTTTAGCTCATAAATCAGACATTAGGAGAAGTGAAGAGAAAATTACAAGTCATACGAACCAAACCACAAAATGACTGTTGCTGGCGTTTCATCCTGGGAAAGAAAACATCTGAAAAACATTTCACCACAATGAGCTTTTATTAAGTTATCACATTAATACCTTGGGGGAGTCCCTTAGAAAATACATTTTCAAATGTATTTTAAAGTACACAAAAAAGGGGAGAGAGATATATACACACACACACAGACTCACGCATGAACATTTACTTAAAGGAGAAGAACCACCAAAATGTCTATATTGCAACAGACACCAAACAGTTAAACATATTCTTGTGGAATGCCCTATTTTTAATATTATCAGACAACAGTTTTTATCTGGAGAGACTTTAAAGGAAATATTTTTAAATGTGAATCCATCTAAAATTGTGAAATTTTTATTAAAAGGAAATCTTAAAAAACTGTTTTAGATTTTTATCTTATATATTATCATTATTATTATTATTTATGTATTTTACCTTGTACATTATTTATTGCTGTTGATGACTTTTAATTGTTAGAATATTTTTATAATTATTGAAAATTAGTGTTTATAAAACGTGATAAACTTCATCTATTTTGTTTTTGCAATGACATAGCCATAGAAGCTGAAATGGCAATAAAATTAAAACTCTCTCTCACACACAAACACACACACACACGCACTCACGCACACACACACACACACACGCACACACACACGCACACACACACTTGAAGTCAGAATTATTACCCCCTCCCCCTTTATATTAGTTGTTCTGTTTCAAATATTTCCAAAATTATGTTTAACAGAGCAAGGACATTTTCACAGTATGCCTGATAATATTTTTTCTTCCAGAGAAAGTCTTGTTTGTTTTATTTCGGCTAGAATAAAAAGTTTAAAAAATTTTAAAGCCATTTTAAGGTAAAAATTATTAGCCCCTTTAAGCTCTATTTTTTCGATAGTCTACAGAACAAACCATCATTATACAATAACTTGCCTAATTACTAACCTGCCTTGTTAACCTAATTAACCTAGTTAAGCCTTTAAATGTCACTTTAAGCTGTATAGAAGTGTCTTGAAAAATATCTAGTCAAATATTATTTACTGTCATCATGGCAAAGATAAAATAAATCAGTTATTAGAGATGAGTTATTAAAACTATTATGATTAGAAATGTGTTGGAAAAAAATCTGCTCTCCGTTAAACAGAAATTGGCCAAAAAAAAAAAAAAAAAACGGGGCTAATAATATAATAATATATATATATGCAAATTTGTTCTATAAATACAAATTTGGCCATTTTATATAGTTTTCTAAACGTTTACAAATATATGTGCTTATTTACTGTATCAATAACTTGTAAAATTTAAATAACATTTTTGTTCAATGTCTGTAACATTAAAAGCTAGCAACATATTTAAAACATATTTAGAAAGCATTTTTGCTTTAATGTGATAATGTTTTCTTTGTTTTGAAACAGTTTTGTAATATTGCAGCAGTATAATATTGTTCTCTACAAGGTTTTCATCAATAACTCTCTGATTGGGGCTTTTTAAAACATTAAAAACTATTACAGTAAATGGGAGAAGCTCATTCAAGTTCACATTTCCTGCTCATTTGTTTGGATCATTATCCCAAGAAACCCACAATTTGGCACTACAGCCATTCAAAGGGCTATTTCAAGATGTACATTTACAGTTACTATATATACTGCAGCACATCCTGAAATAGTACAGAGTAAACCTGCTGTTGATCTTTGTGTGCAGTGCTTTTTACATGTCTCGTGTTGCCATGTATTACTGTTTGTTTTATACAGCACAATTATTTACTTCATATGTACATCCACGGATGTAAACTCTCTTTCTTTTCCTTTTTTAGCTGAACTGCCGACTGATCATCCACTTCAGCCATTTCTGGATTACTACACTCAGGCCGAGCGCTCCCTTCCAGCACTTATTGAAATCAGGTCTATTTTTAAATGTCTAAAAATAACCTCATGAGTAAATGTCTCGTTTACTCATCCTCCACTTGATTCTAACCTGCTTGAGT